CACATAGGGTTTTTCTGAGGCCTCTCTGTTCTCACTCGCGCCTTCCTCTACATTTTCAGATTGATCTTTCGACTTCTCTATTTCTTTTTCAGGTTTTTGATACATGGTCGGGTTTTGGAGTCTAGGATCTATCGGTCCGTCAAGGGCTGTCCCACTTCGTAATGTGATAGCATTTGCATGTCCTTTAGGATTGGGCTGTGGCTGTCCAGGAAATGTACCAACAGGTGCGACAGAACTAGCTTGGTGCTGTGCTACTTGGGAGATTTGGGTTTCTAACATTTTGTTGTGAGTAGCTAGGGCATCTACCTTGTTTGCTAATAGCTTCAATTGTTCACCGGTGTGAACGTTTTGATTGAGGAATTCTTTGTTTTGTTGGGCTTGATTAGTGATAAAATTTTCCATTAGGATTTCAAGGTTAGATTTCTTAGGAATGTTAGGAACATTACCAGCGGGTTTTTGATAACCTGGAGGTACAGCAGGTGCTTGGTCAGGTGCATATAAAGCGTTATTGCTCTTGTACGAGAAGTTAGGATGGTTCTTCCAACCAGGATTATAGGTATTGGCATAAGGATTTCCTTGAGCGTAAGTTACCTGATCAGCCGTTATTCCTGCTAAGATTTGACATTCGGTTCCAACATGACCAGGAACTCCACAAACTTCGCAGCCTGGGATAACTGCAGCTACGGTAGCTGCAGGAGGTAAGGTCAAGCTTTCTATTTTTTGGGTAAGAGCATCTACCTTAGCATTAACTTTATCTAGGCTACTAATCTCGTACATCCCGCCTTTGGTTTGAGTCTTCTCCACAAATGTTCTTTCTCCTCCCCACTGATAGTGGTTTTTAGCCATGTTTTCAATGAGTTGGTTAGCTTCGTCATAAGGCTTGTCCATCAGTGTACCACCTGCGGCGGCATCTATAGATAGTCTTGTGTTGTACAAGAGTCCATTATAAAACGTGTGGATTATCAGCCATTTTTCTAGTCCGTGATGTGGGCACATTCGCATCATATCTTTGTAGCGCTCCCATGCATCGAATAGTGATTCAGTATCCTTCTGCCTAAATCCGTTGATTTGGGATCTTAGTGCAGCGGTCTTGCTTGGGGGAAAGTATCGTGCTAAGAATACGATCTTCCGTCCTTCCCACGTAGTGACGGAATTTGATGGCAAGGATTGCAACCAAGCCCAAGCTCTATCTCTTAGTGAGAAAGGGAAAAGACGTAATCTTATCGCATCTTTACTAACACCATTTGCTATAACTGTGTCGGAAAATTGAACGAATTTTGTAAGATGTTCATTCGGATCCTCAGAAGGATCTCTAGAGAATTGGCGTTGTTGGATAGCTGATATCAATGACGGCTTTAACTCGAAATCGTTTCGGTTTATTGCTGGAGCAGCAATGCTATTATGGGGCTCTTGTTGTGATGGAGCTGCGTACTCCTTCAGTGGACGGGTCCTTTGTTCTTCGGCCATGTCTAATTCTGGATTGGTTTCGGTTTCAGAGGAAGAATTAGAATCAGTTTTAGAATCAATCTTGATTTTTGGTTTGGGTAAAGGAATAGCGTGATTTAAACAGTAATCCCTGACTGCACGTCTTACGGAAAGAATGCATTCAGGTTCGTCTGTCGATTTGTCAAGTGGTTCGCCTTGTGAGCGAGTCCTTGGCATACAAATCGAAAAAGGGTATTTGTTGCTTAGTCTAAACGCACAACAGAAGAATCGTAATTAATTGACTACCAGTCCCCGGCAACAGCGCCAAAAACTTGATCGGGACTTTATAAGTCTGTCGAGATACTAACTGCAAGTATACAGTTCAGTCGTTCTAGTTTTAAAAGATTATCGAACCCACAGAGACTGAGGATCAATCGCATACGATCTAATGCTACAGTTTGTCTAACTAAGCGATGAATATTCGATTTTTGGGGGAAACAGTTTAATTAAAAGTAATAGTACTAATTATACCGGTATGTGATAATCGGACTTAGGGAATTCGGTGAATCGCTTGGCCTATAAAGTATTTCGGTAAAAGCTAATTGTTTAAAAACCTGAGACATACACTCTCGTGTTTATGAAATAAGTCATGCTACTAAACCTAGTGGATGCACTTTAAATTTAATAACACTTTTTTGAAAACAATTTGAATTTAATTAATTTATTAAAACACTCTCGTGTATTTAAAAATCAATGCTTCGTTACCACTATCTGGGTTGAACCCCAGCTCTCGCATGCAGGTTCTTGCCTTAATTAATTTTCCACTCTCGTGGCGAAATCGTGTTAATTAACCTCTCACTCTCGTGACAAGGATAGTTAAATTTATCTTGGAAATTGGAAACCAGAAATTGTTTTATAAATATTTTTGGCCAAGGTATCATTGAATTCTTTCAGTTCTTACGGTCACATACCGGTATTAATAATTTAGCCAGACATAATTAACTTAACAGCAATACAGTTCAAAATATAATTCATGGCAATAATTGGCATATTATAAAAACTGAATGAATAATAATTGCAATATAAAAAACCTGGAATCAAAGTTGCTATGGTAATCTTGAGATATTACAGTAATCCAATCTTCGAGCTTGACTTGCAGTAAATGATTCGTGTTAATTCTTGAAAGAAGAATTAACACTTAAAACTAGAAACTAAGGCTTTGAATGAAAATTACAAGAAAATGAAAACAGAATTCCAAAACAAGCAAATTGGAAAATAACTGTAAAATAAAATAATATTTGCTCTGAGTAAATTTCTTCGACCCTTGAACTGTGTACTGGTACACACATATATATAGCATAGAAAAAATCAGCAGTTTTTGAATTCTTGATGAAGTCTTCCGTGGAGAGAATACCGGAGCACTAATAGTGGTGGCAAGAAAATAGGGGACTCAGTAGAAAAAGGGAGAACGAGTCTGCCCTTCACGCCCACGTCTTAATCCATGCATAACGTTCACTTTCACGCGCGTGACGGTCGTCACACGCTGAAGTAGTGCCTTACGCTCGTCAGTGGTGTGTGACGAGCGTCTCCTTATGTTGGGGGGTGTTACGCCCGTCACAGGGACGTGACGACCGTCACTGTTCCAGAAGTCCAAACTTTGTATTTTTTTATATTCTTTTTCTCTTTGTTTATTGTCTAGCCTTCTTCATGTTGTCCTTTTCCATCGGTTTGAGTCGACAAGTGTTATACCTGCAAAAGACAAATAATCTCGGAATAATCGGGGGTTAGACGACTTAATGAAATATAAAATCGGTAAAAAGCATGGTAATTATATGATATGTTTTCTCGTTATCAATAATTTACATGTGTCGACACAATGGCCTTATATAGGTCGACCCATAACTTACACGTGTCGACACATGTGTCAGAATTTCACAATTTTTTTCCTTTTCAATCTTCTAGGTTTCCCTTTTGCCTCCAACTTTCAAACCTATATATACTTCATACATGCATCTTTTTCAATTTGATGAAACTATAAAAACATACTAAGATTGCTCATCATCTTCAACCTTGCATCTATGCATACACACAAACGACGTACACGTAATCATTCATTGTTTGAGTGTCATCTAGACTTGTGTTGATAACGTTCAATTTAGGTTGATTGTAACCTAAGCTTGGGTTGAGAATCATAGGGGGTTTCATCGGAAAAATGGTGAGAGTTTTTACCTCAAGATCAAAGTGTAGATTTTGATATTTTTACAAGGTTTCGCAAATATTGGATTCGACCGAGTGAGAGGCTTTAAAGAACGAGAGGTTCTTGCAAAGGAGTAGCGTGAGACGATTAATCGTTTGAGAATCTTAGGGGACAACAATTTCGTAATTTGGATTCGACCGAGTGAAGAGCTTTGAAGAACAGTGTTCGATAAATTGTTTCACTTAGTTTTATCAATTGTTTCATTGAATATTGATTGGCTTTGTAATTGTAAAACAATTACTTAAGATTTATTATATTAAGATCTTGTTATCATCATTCAATTGAGTATTGATTGTACGCATATTCGAACCTCCTATAACCAATTCAATTTATACGACTTGTGATCTAAAATACGACTTATTATCATAGTTTTTATTTAAATATTTAAAACAAGTTTTTAAATAAAACTTTACCTTAGGAATCTATTTACCCATAGATAATTACATCTATTTTACCATACTTGACCCCACTGGAAATGTAACTGATGCTTTACTAACCATTATTAATAACAATTTATTTTGTAAAATTGTAAAGTTGACGACATGCCATATTTTTAAAATTGATTTTATTAATGTATAAAAAATAAAAGATAGAAATAAATATAAAATAATAATGCAAAAAAAAAAAATTAAATATACGAGATTAAAGGTAATGCAGTGTGAGTTTAAAATAGTTTTTTATACTATTCTTCAATAGAATTTATTATTCAAAAATGTTATATCAATATTTTAAAAATTGTGATTTAATAGAATACACATGTTCTTCGTTAACTGACGGTGCATATATTTTTCTTCTAAAAATATATATTTATTATAAAATATATAAAAGAGAAAATGATAAAAAAAATAACGATATTATTGAAAACTCATACGGCAACGTTCCACACAGGTAGTTGCTCGTCTTCTCAAAACTGCAAGAGACTATCAGGTATCTTGTTTTACTTTTCTCTATTTAGGGTTTTGTAAGCCTTCAAGTTCTATCCTCAAAAAAATTCAATTAGTTGCTGACAATTTGTGATTTGAAATTCACACATCTGAATTAACTGTTCTCTTGTCCTCTTCTTAGAATTTATCCTAATTTATGAACATACACTATCAAAAGCTTCATTCTTTTACGTGTATTCTTCGCTATTTCTTATTCTGTTGAATTTACTTTTTGTTATTTTATTTTTCAAAGCTTGGAGATGTATTTGATCTAAATGTGCATATGATTGGAAGATAATGGTGTGTGCAAGATTTGATGCTGTAAAGGACAATTAGCTCTAAACATATAATCAATCTGATACTGCAATTGCATCCGGAATTAAATAATACTTTCAATGGATCTTGACTTGGGTGGTAGTAACTCTTGTCCGCCTCGACACAAATGGAGAAAAGTTGCATACGGTGGTATGCAACCTGGATACGATGACAATCACACCGACGAAACATTCCTCGAAGGAATGGTCATGAATGCTAGTGTTGTAAAGAGGGATATGCTAAAGGTGATGCTTGACTCAGTTTCCATTTCCGAATATTTATGCATTGTTGCTCTTGTTGTCTTGGTCTGGACCTATACACTTTCATCGTCTCTTGATGAAATTTCTCTCTTGTTAATTGATCTAAGTCTTCTTGTTTCAGGCTTTTTAGTTCTCCTTTTTACTCAAGAAAGGCTTTCACTTACTCTTCTCCTTCATTATGCCCTTAATATCTCGTTTTTCATAACTGGTTTGTATGTTTTGGCCCCTATCTATCAAACTCTTACAAGGTCCATCAGTTCTGATTCAATTTGGGCAGTAACTGTATCGCTTCTCATACTTCACCTCTTCCTGCACGACTATTCAGAATCCACTGTCAAAGCCCCAGGGGTTCTGAAGAATCCTGCATTAACCAGTTGTATATCCGTAAATGCTTCTGTAGTTGCCTCTGTTTTTATTGCTTCTCGTCTTCCATCAAGACTACATGTGTTTGCCATCATGTTATTTTCGTTGCAGGTTTTCCTTTTTGCTCCACTGGTTACATACTGTATTAAAAAATATTCCTTTTGCTTACACCTATGCTTTTCTATTAGTTTGATGGTTGTGACATTAAGTTTTGTGTACACGCTGCATCGCTTGCTATTTGTGTTGCTACTTAGTTTGTTGGTTTTTGTCAACTTGGTATGTCCTTATTGGCTTATAAGGATTCAGGAGTACAAGTTTGAGATCAATGGACCTTGGGATGAGGCTAAGCTTTGTTTTGATATTACAGACTGAAATCAGAACATGGTTATTTGTTGAGAAATTGGAGTATAATGTAAAACATCACAGAAGCTCTTTGTTGTTCAAGTTAGAGGAGGGTAAGAATTGATGTATGTACTCATGCTTTAGAATCACAATTAATTGTGGTTTCAAAATCTTTAGGTACTTACCTATATGATCAATTTCAATCATTGTACAGTTAACTTTGTTTTTAATATGTAAAAACAGTATGACACTTTTGTTATTGAAAATAAAAACGGGAAATATGTTTGAAATCAAATAGGTGCCATGATTTCACAGTTGTGTAGCTTAAGTTTTAAAATTTGTGTGCTATTCAATGTTGTCACATTCAAATCAACTAGTTTTGATTTTATTGAAGCCTGGAACAGTTAAAGGATATGGAGAAGTAGACAACAGAAATTATTGTCAACATCTCTTTCAAGCAAAATCAACAACCTTCATGAAGTAAAATCAAGTTAAATTCAGCTCTTATTTCACCTGAATTCATCTCTAACTTTACTCTTATTTGACTTCCCAAACAAATTAACTCAAAATTTATACTTAAAATGTTTATGAACCTTCATCACACAAGTGGAAGAGTTCCTCCATTAAGTGGAATATATTATGTTTTGAGGGAAAGAGAAAGACTAGAACATGATTGATAACATAGCCAGTTTTGATTCTTGTATTGCAAATAATCAAGCTTTTCAAAGTGGCGGTTTAAACTTAAATTGTAGATCTAAAAACTAGCCGATGTTAGAAAGGTCTCAAGAAGGTAACTTATTCTCAATCCAAGACTACTAAAAATATGTATACTTTTATTCTTACACATGTCAAAAACAAAAGCAAATCTGAATGAACATATGTTTGTATAAGTCAATCTCTTCTTTCAACACCGGACATACACCTCAACCAAAACCAACCCAACAGCACAGTGAATAGATTAAACAAGAAGAACATAATGGATTTGCCTTTAACACCAAGTAATCTAGTTCAAGGCTTTTCTTTTTCCTGCTCCAATTCCTCGTGTTGACACTCATCTTCACTCTCAGTGCCATTAACACCTTCTTCACAAGTGTTAAAAAATCTGGCCAACCTTTCTGAGACAGATTGTAACCCTTGGTCCAGCGATTCTTCGTCTCCCTCATAATCATCATCCCCTTCATAGATTAGATGAATTCCACATTTTATCAATTCAAACCTCTCATCAAAAGGAGGACTCCTCTTTGTCACACTAACCGTATCAGCGTCTTTTAAGAAGGCTACCAATGGATGGTAATCATGGAACCTTTGCAACTGTATGTGTGGTTCATCTGTCCTTGGCACTCCCCATATGTTTAGCCCTGAACTAAATATTTGTTTGCCCGATTTGAAAACATTTGCTTGAACATCAACCACTCCAGGTGTTTCAATATTCATATTGTTATGGTTAATTGAGAAATTAACACCTACAACTACACTTGTTAGCTCAAGATTTTTGTGCTTGGAAAAGCTGACAGTTCCTCCAGAAAACCATTCAGGTAACTTGGTTCCTGGCATGCTCAAGTTCTGAAGATTTCTCAGTGCAACCTATCATAAATATAAGCAACGACATGGGTTAAAGGTTCATTTACCCGTAAAGAAGATACAAATTGTAATTGAAATAAAAAAACAGACCCTTAGTTCTGATTTTTGTTGATTTTTACTATTCATGGAATCAGTATTTATAGGCAAAGAGAAGGAGATAACAACCTTTGAAAGTCCTTTGCGTGCTTTGGAGGAGCATGCATTGCAACCACTAAGGAACAATCTTCTCAAGGATTTCAAGCATTCAAGACCTGGAATATCCGCCACTTTCTCACAGTTTGTGAGCTTCAACTCCTCCAAACTCTCTAAATTTGACATGTTGTGTATAGTTTCTAATGCATAACAATTATCAGCGTTTAGCTCGATCAAGCTTGAAGGAAGTGAGGGGAGAGAAGTCAGCTCCATGCAATTCGGAAGTAAGAGTTTCTTGAGAAAGGAAAGACCTTTCAAACTGGAAGGAAGGCTATGGAAATTGTTTTGACCCAAATTTAAAGTCTCTATAAATGATAGCTTCTCGAATTCATCAGGAATTTTCCCAGATAACCCCCAAGAACGGGCATCGAACTCATATAGTAAGGTCAGATTGCAAAAAGAAGACGGTATCACAAAAGAGCCAGTGTTCTCCACAGATATGGGAACTGAAGCAGGCCTCTTTGCCATTCTCAGTGATCTCAAGCTTGAGAGCATACCGAAACTTTCAGGCAAGTCAAACATAGCTGTTTCCTCCATCTTTAAGTGACATAGAGATTTCAATTTTCCTATAGAAGCTGGGAGGTGTTTAAGCATTCTACATTTGTTCAATGTTAAGGTAACAAGATTTTCCAATAATCCAATTGACACTGGTAATTCTTTGATATTTCCGTTGTTTATGTTCAGCGAAGTAAGAGATCCTAGGTGGCCAATGAATTTTGGTAATGATTCAAGATTGCTGCAATTCCCAATATCAAGCTTCCTTAGTTGTTTCATTTCTCCAATTTGATCTGGAAGATATTTGATGGGTGTTCCATCTAACTCAAGTTCAATAATTGAGGCCAGAGTTTTAATTGAATCAGGCAATTTACTGAGACGTTTACTGTTTCCAACTGATAATGTTCTCAGAAAGGATAAAGAACCAATGGTGGAAGGGAGTTCTTTAATTCCACTGTTGTAAGCCAAAAGCTTTGTCAACGATACGAGATTTCCAATAGAATCTGGCAACTGAGTGAGAGATGCACACCAATTCAAACTTAATTTCTCAAGGTTTTTCAAATATCCAATAGTTTTGGGTAATTCTTGTAAACCTGATTGATTAAGAGATAATTCTTGCAAAGAACATAATTTTCCAATGCAGTTTGGCAGTCTTCCCAAATATGAGCAACTGTCTAAAACAAGTCGTTCGAGTTTGGTCAAGCGAAAAATGGACTTGGGCAACTTTACTATAGCAGTGCCATCAGCCTCAAGTGTTTTCAGCGATTTAAGTATGCCTATGTTTTCGGGTAATACTTTCAAATTGGTGCAACTAGAAAGAACTAGGATCTCCAGATGTTTCAGCCCAGACACATCACTGGGAAGCTCAGTGATGATTTTACAACGCCTCAAATTCAAATTACGCAAGGTAGTCAAACTGCCAATTGATTCATGAATCCATTTTAGATTAATGCAATTCTCCATAATAATTTTCTCTAGCTTGAGACACCCAGATAAATCAGGGATCGCAGCAAGTTGGTAGCAGTCGGAGAGGTTAATGACCAATAGGTTCTCTGGAACCTGCTATACAATGTGATGTTAAGTTGTAAGATGTTATACTTGTAGAAGTTATAAGGTTTCTGTCCTTTCCATATATAGCAAAGAGAAAAAAGGAACAGAAACCGATATATATTTTGTGTAAAAAATCCTAGCAGTGAAACTTAATCCTAGCGTGCTGTATTTGTTGCATGCAAAAGACCCATTAATATTCTTATTTATTTTATTCTTCTACTACTCTTATTTCAAAAACTGGTTTAACATGTCCCTATTCCCTAACAAAAATAATTGTGAATAAAGTTGCAAATGCAATCACCAAAATTTGAGCATTTGTGATTAAATTATGCATCAAATAGCTAAAGCATGCATGTACCTTGTTGTGACTTTCCAATGCACTCAAGCTTTTAATTTTCTCAGCATTTGAGAGATCAAGGATAGCCAGTTCACGTGGCAATGTGTCCAAAGGAAGGCATTCCAAAGGACATCCTTGCCATTGTAGCCATTTCAGTTCATCGGGAAGAAACTCGCCTTCCAAACTCATATTATTGATCTGAAGCAATCGTAATGTAACCATTGGTTCAAAGGATTTTGTATCAAGTGTAACATAGTTATATTTCTCTGCTACAATGATTGATCTTTTCTTAAAGTCCAGTACAATTCCTTGTATGCATCTTGTTCCCTACATTAAATAGGCATCATATACAGTAAGTTCCTTCTTTGGCAAAAAATCGTAGAGGGATAAAATCGAATTGAACCAATCATATTCGCTGGTTGGCTCTCGGGATGCAACCTTTCGTCATGAAAATAATCATTTTCCAAAATCAAAACAATAAAGTATTCAATCATATAGAAGTATTTGTAATCTTATGAAAATTGACACATATGGATTGCTTTATAATATATAAAAAAACAGCATGCAGTTTTATCCTACTAAACCCAGCAAAGTTAGTAATATTATTATCTAGTCTATTGTTTCTGTATTATTAAAATTTGTTCTCAAAGACCAATTTTGTCTGCTAGTCTTATTATTTTATCTTACTGCTGGCAGCATAAATGACATACCCTTTTTGAATAAAATATTAATGAATGATTTTGGACACTTTTTGCAGCTTAAAGTCTCTTTTGAAGCATTTTATATGAATCAAACTTTGTATTTTGCAATGTTTCATAAACATTTACCTTCTTACTCTTCAAAACGGACATGATTTCAGCACGATCCCACAGTCTACTACGCATCCCAGGATCAACATGGTTTTCATCCATAACAATTTGTCTTCCCATGTCTCTAATTTGATCATGCATCCACAAGGTATTGTCATGTTTTATTTTGATTAAGCATTTCTGTACAAGGATCGTCATAGCTATCTCTCCTCTAAACCCACAACCTCTCAATATATCAATCACGTCACCGCGCTTCATTTCCATTTGAAGAAAGAAACAAGCAATATCAAGGAATATACACTTCTCTTGTTCGTCCAACCCATCATAACTTATCTTCAACACATCATGAAGATTCCCGGGTCGAATTGTTCTCAGCTTCACAACAGCATCCTCCCACTCCTCCACCCTCCTTCTCTCACACAGAAAGCAACCAAACACTTCCAAAGCCAATGGCATTCTTCCGGTAAGAGATACAATTTTCTTTGAAAGATCCAGAAAACTTGGTGGAGGGTCCTTTTTCTTCAAAGCATGGTAACTGAATAATTGTAGAGCTTCTTCATCATACA